TGGCACCGTGCGCCATCTTTGCTTCTTCCTGAAAGGCTGTGAAACGCTGCTTGACTATGAAACTGCTTCCTGGCCCATGACGCCACAATGCTGGTGGGGCCCCCAGGGCTTTTTTGTTTGTTTGCTCTGATTTGTTCTGTTTTGATTTGTTTGTTTGTTTATTTTTCTTTCCTCAGCTTGGGAACCCCTTCTAGCTGGGCAGTACCACACGGCTTGGAAGCTACTCCCTTACTCTGCACAGACGCACAGAGACATCCCCAGGGGCATTTCTTTTTTCTTGTTTTTTTTTTTCTTTTTTTTTTGGTTTTTAGGGGTTTTTTTGTTTCTTTGTTCTGTTTTCTTCTTTCTCTTATTCCCTTTTTGTCTTTCTTCATTTCCAGTTTCTCGATTTATTCTTTTTTTTATCCTTGTTCTTTTTTTTCCCCCCATTTTTGTTTTTCCTCATTTCTTAGTCTCTCATCTCTCCACTCCAATAGCAAGCTCCCTTAGCATTCTTTTTTGTTTGTGTGTATGTTTTTGGTTCTGGTTTCTCTCTCCTCTCGCTCATCTTTCCCATACCCGTCTTAGCTCCACACATCACAATCTACCCCCTCCTTCCTGCCTACCTGCACTGTGTGCTGAACATCACACTCCCAAGCAGCACAGGCACAGCCTACTGGAACCTGCCCTGCACTGATTCCCAGTCCAAACTGTTAGCCCTGGTACGTGCCACAAACAACCCATCCCAGCAACTCCCCTTCAGCTGGACCTGCCCTGTTGTACCATACCTGAGTGACTGACCCCACCCATTATAGAAGGAGGTGAAAAGTATCATACCCACAGATGAGCAAACAACAAAGAACGCACAGCCTGCCTGCTCAGACATAACCAAACAAAACAAAAAAGCTGGACGAAACAAATAAATCTACAATCAACAAATGAGGAAAATAACCACTGAATGCCCTGAAGACAGCAGACAATACCAAAACATCTACAAAAACAGGACAGGATGGTTCCAGTAGGCATCCAAAATAAAACACCAGATGACCTTCCAGTAGGAGAAAAGGCACTAGACCTAACTGATAGGGAATTCAAATCTCTAACATACAGAATTATCCAAGAGTTGAAGCAAAAAGCAGACAAAAATGAGGAAAAAATAGACAAATTCATGGAAAACACAGACAAAAAACGGAAGAATTCAAGAAAATAATACAGGAACAAAATGCTAAAATAAATTCACAACTAGAAATCA